TTAATCAGATAGATATTGGGGGGGACATTTTGAGCATATCTGAATATTGGGGGGGACATGTCCCCCCCAATGTATATGGTGATTTAGGCCCTGGCAAGAACAATGCTGTGTGTGTGTGTGTGTGTGGAGGGGGGGGGTGGATTTGAGCCTGTTGCAGGTTGTGCATGTTCGTGCATGCAGTTTTTTGGATTTGTATCTCCGTGTGTGGTTGTGTGAATGACATATGGGGGAGGCAGTGATAACCACTCAAAATGTCTGCTGACCAATATGGGGATTCATGTGCTGATCGCTGGCTTGTGGTTTGTTGGCTTTTCTGTTTTGACACATAACTGGTGGTCACACAATCTGTCCACAACAGATCACAGCCTGGAAGCTCGGAACATGTTTCCAGCCACCGTTGGCTTTGCACCCGAAACAAATTACTCTCAGTTAATAAACACAGCTAACTATATCTGTTGTCAGAATTCTGCTGTTTAGAAGGAGAGTGGATGAAAAGTGATCGTTTTCTTGTCTAAACAAAACCGATGAAATATTTAAATATCAAGATGAATTGAGCTGTTTGAGTTTTTTCCGTGTGTCACTTTGCAAACAGCACGCCATGACTGATTAACTCAACGTACAATTTCCCCCAATTTAATGCATGGCTGCTGCTCCAAAAGGTCTTAATCACAAACACAAATTGCTCGGGGAGAGTTAAGTGGTGCTCTTTTGTCATATTACACAGTTTATGGAAAGTACTGATGGGAAATGTTCATTGAGAGGAACTTGATGAAGGTTTTTTTTTTTCCTTAACGGGACGAGTGTTGTGTTATTTGGACAATTTAAAAGCAAAGCTCAACTTCGTTAATGTGGGTGGAGCCGTGCTGGCAAGAGAATCTGTGCACACACTCAATGAAGTGTTAAAAACTGGGTCGTCCTTACGTGGTGAGACGATAATTGACCTGAAAGTTCGAAAGTTTCCTGTCCACCAAACTACTGTCCCTCTATCTGTCTCTCTCTTTCTTTCTGAATTGAAGAACTAACTTTGTTTCCTGTCTCCCTCCCCCACCCCGCAGATCCAGTTCATGGTCCCCAGAGCGTCAACGTGGTGGACGTCAGAGCGCGCCAGCTGACGATACAGTGGGAGACGTTTGGATATGCTGTCACACGCTGCCACAGCTACAATCTGACGGTACGAACAGCCGGCCACATTTTGTGCTGTAGCTGCAAACTCACTGATGCATGTTACATTGAGTGGGAGTTAATTATTCTCCGCCATGAAAGCATTGGTGGCGCATTGTTCCTTTTTTTTATGTCAAAGCTCCAAGTTAAGTTTTGGCAAGTTTGGAGTTCATTACAAGGATAAAGATTCTTTCCGAGCTTTGCAAAGTTAAGGACAGTTTTGTTTCTCTGTAGTTGCGGTGGAATAAATGTCTTTCTCTCTCTCTTTTCCCTTTGCTTTGCAGGTGCAGTACCAGTATGCGTTCAACCAGCAGGAGTTTGCAGCAGAGGAGTTGATCCAGACGTCGTCACACTACACTCTGAGGGGGCTGAGGCCCTTCGTCACCGTCAGACTGAGGCTCGTCCTGGCAAACCCCGAAGGCAGCAAGGAGAGCGAGGAGATAGTCAAACAGACAGAGGAGGACGGTGAGTGTTGATCCAACCTGTAGCCACTTCATAACTGCTTCAGATATTCCAGACACCAGAGAAGGATTCACTTTACACTTTTTCCGGATCTACGGCAAAATGGAATGTGTTCTTTTTTGACCCAGGTGTCGTCCTGTTACCAAATTCGTGGAAATCTATTCGCGTAATAAAAGAAACAAACGGACACTTTAGGAAATCTTCAGGGGACGAGTGTTGTTGCTGATAAAGTCTTTGGAAGAATATTACGTTGATATGATGGTTGCAGAATGTCTTGTTAGGATGTTTTTCTGTTTTTCTACCCTCGGGTGATCAGGAAATAAAAACTAACGAACTAAATAACTAAAGCAATGCATGAGACTGCCTTGAGCGAAGCAGTGTATTCATTAGAGACACACTGGGTCTGTAGTCCCGCAGGTTTGATCCCCGCAATATCCGAAATTGTATTAATCATCAGCAATGTGCTATTATTTTGCCCTTGATCAAAAGCTGTGCGGTACGCACTGACACACTCCTCCAAAATAAATGTTCCTAAGTAGCTGAAGTCATTTCAAAACAACATTTAAAGCTCCTGTTTCCTTTCCGCAGGGCTCCGTGTTCCTCTAATTCAGAACAGAGTGTTTGCCTCAGCTACTACTGCTAATAATTCACAGCTGCATCACATTTCTCTCAACAACATGCCAGCGATAAACGGGAATAGCTGGAATCCATTAGAGTAACGCCTGATAAGCAGGATAAAAACCTTCTAATGATCCCAAATCTCTCATCTCTTCCCCATCCTCCTCAGGGCTCGCTGTTCTTCTCCTGATCTCATAACTAATATCCTCTGAATCTAGCTTCTGGGGAACATCACGCTTCAGCCTGGAATTCATACCTTTACTAGCTGAACACACACACACACACACACACATAGTGTAGGTTGTCCGAACCCTGGCAGCAAACGAGCGGACGTTCCTGGCCTTGGGGAGAAGGGGGAAAAAAGCCTTAATTGTTTTGTTCTTAATTGTTTTTTATTTAACAATCATTAATCTCCTAGTTGTATTTCAGTAATTAGGGAGCAGAACAGCAATTGTTCACACGGAGGCTAATTGCTGTTTGTACGGTAATGGCTTTATAGAGCTTGAGCTCCTGCAAATGAAGTTGATGCTTGTTCTCTCCCACTCTCACACACACACACACACACACACACACACACACACACACACACGTCACTGTGATTTACGCTCTCGCCTGTGGAGACGCTGNTATGAGATATGTGTTATCCTATAATGAGAGGCATAATGCCGTATTTAATATTAAGATATGAAATTGACATTTTCTTATCTTTCTTCTCAGCTAATTATGTCCTTGCATTGCTTCACCTAGTGGAAGCTACACTTCTAAGATTTACAGCATATTAACATGCACACACACACACACACACACACAGTGTACCCAGTCACGAACCTTTGACTGTCTCAGTATGAGACATCCAGCGTTGTTACACATCCACTGGAAAAATACCCCTCGTTCCACGCTGCTTAAAAAGTTAAAGATCCCCCATGTTTACTGCTGCAGAAGCTGATTGCTTTTGTTCTGCCGCACGTCACTGCAGAGCTAATTGCCTCCCGGAGTGTATGAAAAGTTCAAGTGTCTCAGGAAGTATAAGTCCGAAAGTGAAAAATGCCTAAACAAGGTTAAAGTTTCGCTCTGGAGGATGCAGAGCTGCTCGTGGATGGAGACGAGTTCAAAAGTGAAAAAAGTTTGAACCTACACACCGAAAGGTGAACATGTTCGCATTCTTTTACGCTGTGATAGTTATTTGTTGCATTTGTCGAACTTATTGCACACACTGGCAGGTCGGGCCGTTCAGTGGTTAAAGTTTTTAAAAGACAACTCTGTAAATAACCCACGTTGTGTGTGTGTGTGTGTGTGGGTGTGTTTTTATCGTCCCTCTGTCCATCCGTTCATTTTGACAGAAGAAGATTTGAAACTACACACTCACACACAAACACAAGGAGACTCGCCCCAGAGACAAATGTCGTATCCTCTTATCGTACACACCAACCTATTAACCTAACCGTGAAACACCTATTTGTCAGGAAGCTGTCAGGTCAGCTCAACACAGCTGCTTTACCTCCGGGCCTTTATTTATCAAATATGTGCCAGAGGAAGTGGTGGAGCTGTCTCAACCACACTGCGCTGACCTTTTCCTCCAGGAATCGTGTTACACAACCATTTTGCATTAGCAAACATGTTCTAAGGGCAATACAATGCCACCTGCATAACGTTTGATCAATGTATCAGCAAGTTATAGTCAAAGTGCCCTTGAGCAAAGTGTTTTACCCTCTTTAAATCCAAATGAACGGAAGCTACACAGAGACTCTGACACTAAACCTTAAATAAGTCATTAACATTGTTAGTTACGTTTTAAATCATCTGCATGAAGAGCATGAAAACTGCATTTAAGTGTATCACATCACCGACATGCAACCAGCAAACAAAGCACAAAATAAAGCTGGATCGTGCGACTGGAGGTCAAAATCTTCACAGAGAACCATTCATTCATTTACCCAGTTGGCGAAACAGGGATTCTTAATAATGAAGTCTTTATTACAAACAGTAATTTCACTCTTTGCACCGCTGCTTCTCTATTTCCACAGTTGCCTACACTCCAAATGAAGAGAACAGAAAACCTCAATCCTCGATTTCCTGCTTCGACGTATCATAGGATGACGTAAAGCCATGTTAACGTGTAGCTAACTAACCCAGTCAACCTGCTCAACAGGAATATGATCATTGAATGAGACAGTGAACTGTAGCCCAGCTGCTTCTACATCACATGAAATGCTTCTATAGAATATTTGAAATAAAATTTAATTCCGATCATGAAAAAAGTCTAAGCTTTGTTCTAAAGAAGCAGAAATAAGATGTTGTCACTAATGAGCTGATGTTTTTATGTGACGGGCTCGATATCCCGTCAGAGGTTAAGCACTTCACAAAGTCAAACAGCTGATATCAAATATTAAAATAACAAAATTAAAAATCCCCATATTTGTGACATGTTTATATCCTTATAAATAACCCTGTGTCTCTGCGAGAGTAAACCTCTCCTCTCGCTCCGGGGACAGTCACAGTCACAGAGATTTAATAATCCTTTTCTCTTCAGAGTGCAGGGTCTTTTCTCAGATCGCAGCAGAGGGAAAAACAAGAGACATCAGCTTTTGTTCCTTTTATTTGTTTCTTAACCGCTGTCATTTTTTTCCTAAAAGACAATTCATCAAAGTCATTTAGTTGTAGAATTGCACTTGTTCATGGCCTTTTAATAGTTTGAAGTGTTTCTTTGGTACGTCGAGGATCACACGACGCTCTGAATCCACAAAGGACTGAGCAAAGTTTAAAAAGGAATAAAAGATTCAAATAAAAGATGCCCTCTCATTGACTTGGCCTGTGTCGCTGCTGCTCTGTGTTTTACTTCTTTAAAAAAACAACTCTTCAAAACATGTTTTCTTCACTGCATTATTTAAAAGATTTTTCAAGTTTGACTTTTACAAGCCTGCGACATCGTGTTTTTTCACCATCTCGTCCTATATTCAAAGCAGCACACATGTTTACGGAGACGGCTCTTTGTCATATTTGAAGGATTAAAAAGTATTTGTAATGTGTTAAAAACCAGTGAATGTAGTTATACTAATATTCTAATATCTCTCGGAAAAAGAAACTTGCAAAAACGAGAATAAACTTGTAACTTGATGAAGAGTCAGCGTTCGGAACCTTTCACTCTGTTTTCATAGCATCAAAAAACAAATTCAATCCAAACTTATTAGAACTATTAACTCGACGATTCAATTCGGTGGATTATTGATCAACGACAGACGCACGTCAAACAACCAGAAAACCCGACTGGACAGAAAACAAATCTATAAATAAAATATAAATATAACATCAGCATAAAAACAATTTGAGCGGAAAAGGCATCCTCTGTGAACTCTAGGAAACCGACATTCCTATAATTTGTTTCACAATTTCATTTCGCTCTTAATCTCTTTGAGCACAGCCACACACGCCTCAGTTAGACACAACATATTTTATTTGCAGGAAAAAAAACCGATCCAATTTCATCCAAAACACCGGCTCAGACTGACACTTCCTTTAAAAACCAGGGAAATACCACAAGCCTGAAATCACAACAACTAATACAGCTCTGTCCTGTAATCCTGACATCACAATGTGTAATTTCATCTTAATCCAGTCCAGCAGCGCTGCCGCGATCTGCCGCCTGCCAGCGTTAAATCAGATGTGTTTATGTTCCCAGGGAGGATAAAGCTCCACTGGGATGAAATCTTGAACAAGAAGAACGTCTACGTGAAAACATTGTTCCTCCATGGATTACTACATGTTTCCATACGTGTGCATGAGACCACATGAGGTGTTTCATCCAGAAGATAACACTTTGGTTGTTTCTTTCCCCTACAAAAATCTGGCATCGTGTCATCAAACCAATTTGAAAAGCACGAGACGAACAGGTGTTAAGTCACCACTCACGCAGATGAGCATTGCTTCCGATCACTCAATACATTTACATTCGGATGCTGTGGTTTGTAAACTAGATTTGTTGGATTCATTATTGAGATTTCTGTAAAATGTTTAAATGCTCTAAAAAAAAGACTGTCCATCGCTGCAGCTCCTCTCTTCAGCCTCTGTCTGAAACACTTGGTTTTAGCTCCTGTCTCTTTAAGACCCCCCCCCCTCCTGATAAAACATCACAATATTATGCAGAGAATTCAAGTAAAAATGTTTATTACATAAATGTTACAGACAAATACGGTTCGAACTTGTATAAAAGTGTGCTGCAGTATCTTCTCTTCAGTCCTGATTACACACCACTGATCACCATCACTCCAGCTCAACACAAGTTGCTGCTTCAAACGTCTGCGCTCCGAACAATGAACAAAAGCCAAAATTTCCATATAAACAATCAGGTCGGTTGCTTATCATAATAAAAGCCTGGAAAGAGTCCGATAGAGAAAACAAGAAAAAACGAAAGCTGGAGAGGAAACAGAGATTTATTTTGTGTCAGGAAGGAGAATTCAAATTGAACTAAGGATTCCAAGAGAGAGAGAGAGAGTAAATAGAAGGAATAGAAATAAGGGGTGAGAGATTGATAGAGAGATGAATGGAAATGAGAATGAGGAAGAGAGAGGGAGCTGGTTGAATGAAGGAGGCCATCTATTGTGCAGGATGAGGAAAGTTAATCAAGTTATGATTAATGTGTTACAGCTGCTGTTATCTTTTCAATGAAGCCTGTTGTCTTCTGTGTCAGCCCCCCCCCCCTCCCCCACACACACACACACACACACACAAACACACACAAGTTACTAGCATGCCAATGTTGTAATAGTCATAATATGGTTTAGCAAGTCATCGAAAAAGTTCACACACACACACACACACACACACACACACACACACACACACACACACACAGTGAGGAGTGATAAGGTGTTGAATAAAAATGGCAGCGTCTAATTGCGTTTCTTTGTTAGGGTAATTTGATACGCTCCACCGGCTGGGCCCTTAATCAACACCTTGGAATTACTAATCAAAAAATTCTTCTGTTAGACTTCTGTGTGTTAGTGTGTGTGGTGTTAGAGTGTGTGTGTGTGTGTCTGTGTGTTTGTGTGTGTTGGTGTGTATCTCCATATCTGTGACTAACAGTGGTTCATTTGGGGACATTAACTCCAGGTAAGACTCAAACATGCCATGTTGTCGTATTTTTATGGAAACACAATAAGACTGTTAAGAAGTCGAAGTGTTATTAACGTCATGTTAGTTATAGAGATGTCATTTTTACAGGGATATGGATTTGTCATATTAAATAAAAATATGAATACGTCAACACGACTCCTCTCAGTCAACATCTGGATCCACATCTGGATCCAAATGAGTCACAGTTGCTCTGATTCGTCGTCATTTGTCGACAACATAAAACTGAATTCATTGCTGAGTTCCCCAAAAATTAATATGGTTAAATGTACGACGTGTAAATATGGAAAAAAATGAAGGAGCGGCGAATGAGAATATCCATATAAATGTATATAAATGTGCGTTTGAGGAGGAAATCCAGGGGTAAAAAGATCGTGTTCCCTTGTTCCAAGGGTTTTTAGTTAGAATGTCTTACTTTATAAATTCCACTGAAGGTGTTGAGTCTGTTATTTTCCTTCAGTCGTGTTTGATTAAAATAATATTGATTTCTTTGGATCTAGAACAAGTGAACGTCTCTAAAACGATTCTCTGTGATGCCTGGAACCTCCAGTCAATCTGTTTAAAGTTTCACAATCCAGACTTAACTGTCATCAACCATTAATGGTGGAGAATCACAAGGTCGGTTGCACTTTACGTCACCGTCCACATCAGCATCAGTGAATATCTGGTTTTGGGTTCATGTGCAACACCAGTGCAATATGTCTTGGTTTAGAAGTTGTGCTGTATTCTCAGTTTAATTAGACTCATTGTGCGTGTTTGGAAATGTGATGCGGCGACACTGAACCAAACACAAATCCTGTTTCACGTCAGACAATCTCATTTCAACACCTGACAGTCCAGCAGGGAAGCAGTGAATCACATGTTTAGGTGAAAGATGGATGACGGCAGGAAACCCTCGAGGGTTAAAGGGAAAAATTGCGGCACATCCATCTTTTAGATTTTCTTGGATTCAATTTGTGGCTGTAAACGGCTGAATGCTTGTGAAGCTTATTTCATCGGAGACAAAGACAATAACAAAAACTTCAGGCTCGTTTTTTTATGTTGTATCACAGACATCGTGCGGACGTTACAGACGTTTAGTCGACACTCGTCTCACGGCGGAATAAACTCAGTCCATAGTTAACATTACACACAGACGACAGCAGAGATCACAGCCTGGTAACAAAAAGTTAAATATCATATCCCTGCCGCTGTCGTATGATCATCGAGAACAAAAATAAGAGGTGATACGGAAAAGGCAGGAAATACACACACTTTCACACATTCTAACACACGGCCGCCATCCGTCCCTCCGGGCGCCGTCTGTCTCCGTCTCCTTAACATTTAGAACAATTCACACCCATCAATGAGTGTGTTGTTTGTGCACTGTTGTGTGTCGCAATGAAAAGGTGTGGACGCGTGTGTAACTGTGTGTATTTGTGTCTGACACGTCCCTCTCTGTCAGCGCGGCCTCATGAAGCCTGAGCCGCGTGTTCCTGCTGAAAGTGCGACACCGCTCACGACCCGCGTGTTTGACCTTTTCATTTGGTCTCATTATTTCTCGATTTATTTTCTTTTGCTTTCTCCTCTGTGGGTCACTTTGTGAGATCTCTGCCCTCGCACTGTTTACGTTGGTGGAGACGTGCACGCTCTCGTCACCGGGTGGATTGCACCGTGAGGAGTGGAGTGGTAAACCTGTCTGCCCCTCGCTGTTTGTGTGAATGTCACAGCTCAGGGTTTTTATGACCCGACAAGCAGGTGTTTACCTTCAGCTTCTCCTGCCGCTGATTCTCTAAGTGACGTCCCCAGGATTCTGTGTTTTCGTGTTTAAACTTTGACTCCGTCCCTCCTCTTCCTCTTTTGACTCTTCCAGCGCACACAGGTCTGAAATGTAACTCATGCCGACTTGCCTATACTTCTTAGTTTTATCAAATGTATTCTGTGGCCCTCTGCCGTGTAGGTGACTGAAATGACTCCTGCTCAAATTCGTCCTCAGCCGCTCATTCGCAGCAGAACAACGGACAGTTTGTTCGATTGTAGTTGTCACGTGTCAGTCCGTGAACTGGAGCTCGGGAAACGTTTTGTTGTTTTGTTGTTTTGTCCAATTAAAGCAACTACTTACCTCAAAATAACAGATTCAAAATCATTTTGGTTGCACATTGAGTTCATGCACCTCAGTGGAGAGGGACCTCAAAGCTTTACTGTGCAATGTCACACACCACTAACCGTGGGTCGGTCAACTTCCTGACTCTGAAGAGAAGCTAGCTCGCTATTCCTTGCACAGATATCGTGGCCGAACTGAAGAGCTCCTAGCGTCAACATCTTGGTGCATAACCACCATTGGTGCAGATGGTTTCGGTTCATCAGATCAGCAGAAAGCTGATTTATAACTAAATGTTAAATTCTATCCTGTTTTGGATCATTACTTTCTTCCTTTGTCTTCTGTCTTGTCCTCACAGACATATGTCCTGTGAAGGTGCTTCATAAATTCAAGTCATTATCATTATTATTATTATTATTATTATCAGGTGTAAAGAGGCAGTTTGTTCATTGACGTTGAATTAATAACAGACTTATTAAGTTAGTGAACTGTTTGTTTGAGTTGTGATGTCAAAAGCAGTTTGAAGGCCCAGCTGTGAGTCAGAAAATGTGCCTGAAGCAAAAGAAAACCAGTCTCTGCTCTGATTTTGTCTCAGTAATCGTTCCATTGTTCATCGTCTAGATTTATCTCCGCGTGACATCATTACAGCTCGACCCCTTCATCTTAAGACGAGGCTGTCTGACGTCACGGATAACAACTGCACCCCGTAGCTTTTGTTTTTGCTTTCATCACAAAAAAAATAATTTAATATTCTGTCATTTTAGCTATTGTGTCAGCAAAGCAACAGTTTAACTAAACTAAAAGAGGAAAAAATCACAGTTTTACAATTTCGTATAAACATAAAAATGTTTCTCAGTGAAATATCTTTGTCTAGTTCAGTAAAACTTCAATATTCAGTCTGCTCGTAATGGAAATAAGCAAATTTGGACCTTATTTGTTTTCAGAAAGTACTTCTTTTAACAATACAATAATCATAATGGAATCCCACGTCATTACTTTAATTATAGCAAATGTCTTTCATTGTAAATCTGAAGGAAGCAGCGATTCTCACTCTGCCTGTCAGGGAAATTAGATTTGGAGTAACTTAGGCGTTCTGATGAGTGGGAAACTTTAAATAACAGAATTAAATGATGAGAGACGGAAGTTAAATTTCATAAACATCATTTCGTCCCTTATTCTGTTCCTTCCTCTCGCCTTCTTTTCTTCCCACTCTCATTCTATCCTCAGTTCAATATACTGCCTCCCTCTGTGCTCACTTCCATATGCCTGTGGATTTATTTATACCAGAGCAATATTGAATGATTATCAAGGACCTGAGGATGAATTCTGTCCCAGTGTATGAAGAGCGTATTATTGGATATTCTGTGCAGTATTTTGTGAAGTTTTCAACAGCAGCGAGTGCGAGTTTTTAAAGATGCTTTATTTTTCCCTGCATCCTTTTTCTTCTTGGAAAACAATATCAATCATTAACATGTTGATTCTGTGTTCGCATTTAACTGAAATGCATTTCTGGTTTCTGTCGTTGAAATAATGACGTTTTGTTGTTCTCCGTCTCCACAGTTCCCGGCTCGGTTCCGATGGAGTCCCTGCAGAACACGCCTTATGAAGAGAAGATCTTCATGCAGTGGAAAGCTCCCAATGAAACCAATGGAGTCATCACACTGTACGAGGTCGGTCACAGTCTGTTAACAATACTCACATTCATTTTGTTTGACGTTATCGCCTTGTGATTCATGTTCGTGGGACGATTCAGATGTCTTCATCTTTGCATCTTTAAATACGAGCGGCTTTAAATTGTGAAGCCCAAGAAATGAATATTAAAGTGTTCAAAAATGATTCATTACAATGAGACACTATCATCTACAATGTGATTGTAGCACATCTATGTTTTTCTGGTAAACAGAAAAACATCTTTTTCCAGATGGGTAAGATTTTGGATTGAAACCACTACGCTATGACTGTGAAGCAGAGGCTTGCAGGTTTGATCCCAGGTTCAAAGCTAAGCTCTTGTCCCAGATCTCACATTTCACCTTGACTCGCCTTTCAGGAGATTTCTACATTATTACAACTGCACCAGAAAAAAATAAAAAATAAAAAAAAGCGTCTGTGTGTACGACCTCTCTCAGCCACTGCTGGCAAGAGGCAGGAGGAGGAGACTGGGCGGCAGAGCGAGCTCATCTTGAGGGAGATGGAGGGAACAGAACGAGGCATAGAGAGAGAGGAGTAGTGGATAGAAAGAGAAAGACAGTACTGCAGTTTTATAAGATGGGTACATTGATCTGCAGAGAAAGATTATTTCCTCTTTTCCAAGAATACAACACAGGTACAACGAACAAGGACTCGTAAGAGGTGATGAGTCGAGGGTAAGAATGAGGAAGAGAGCGAGGACAAGAGAAGTTCAGGTAGAAGAGGGATGAAACGCTGAGACTGTTCATTCTGCCACTACGACTGATTCTGAAGTAGAATGTTCACACAAATCAGATGTTGTCCGATCACCGTCGTTCACACCGGTTAATGTGAGGCACCCGTCAGACTTGTGGAGAAGTCTGTTTTAGCCTGTTGGGGAAAAATATGCTGTTGTGAAACTATTTGAGTCTTTCTGGAAGCTTCGCTGCAGGATTGTGAAACTTTGCATTAGTGAGGCGGTTAAGCAAAGAGTTCCAGCTCTCAGCTCCGTTTCACTTCACGCCAAAGGTGATGGAAGAGGTTCTGTGCCGGTTGCTCGAGTTTAAACGAGGTAAAAAAAAAAACGTTTTTTTGAGTGAAGCATCGTCAGTTTAAAAGCATTGTAGGCTGTATCCTGAAGGTTTTCTGGATTTACTGGAATTTAAAGACCGCCTCAGACCACAGACACAAACTGGTTGTGTACGTGTGAGAATGTGCATTTGAAATTTCTCTGAGGCATAGTTATAATTCTGCACCGTACCAGCCGGACTGAGCGACGACACAAAGGGCAATGAGACACAGCAATTTAATGGTGCTATGAGTTAGTAATTCAGAAATCCAACCAAATATTCCAACAGACCATGAGGGACCAACTAAATTATATGAATTGTAGTTTTCTTTACCCCAGAAAAGACCCTTTATATTTAAATACTTTATATTTACATGGAGGGGACCCTCTCTACGGAGGCCGCCATGTTTTTTACATTAGTCCAGACTGGACAAACTAAACACCTTTTGAGTTTTTATGACAACTGAAGCTGCCACAGGTTCTTTTTCATGTTTGGAAGGAGAGGGTGAGGTGAGGGGTGCTCAGCTGCAACATGACACTTCAACACTAGATGTCACTAAATTCTACTCGCTGTACCTTTAATTTTGTAAAAAGAATTTTGTTTGAAGAGTGACTCAAAGGGAAAAAGAGCTCAGGTTTGAATGTGTGTGTAACGTTTGTCATAGTTAATCCACCACATCACTGTCAGGTGCTGTTAGCATCAGACGTGTTGAATCCAGGAATAGATACGAACACTCGTTTATTATGGGAGCGGAGCAGATACTCAGCTGTGAAGGCTGCAGAGGAAGTGGAGGAGAGACCCCTGATGGAGCTCAAGACAATGTTGGGGATATGTGTGTGTGTGTGTGTGTGTGTGTCCCTATAATGTTTCTCATTAAACTTTAAGGCGAGGGCGTGGTTAGGTGAAGGTCAGGGTAAAGGTTAGTGGTAGTTAGAGTTATGGGATGGAAGTGTCCGGCGGAACAAATGTAAATCGGCGTAACCTCCTCTGAAGTCCTGAAGACACGACCGGGTGTGTGAGCGTGTGCGGTTATGGGCGGTTTATTCGAGCTGAAGTTGAGCTGAGCGCTCTATCTAATGAATTATTGACCTGTTTTCTGTCTCCTGTCTGCCTCTTATATCACTGCATCAAGGAGCTACCTCACACCAAGACCTGCCAGGGCTATAAGACTGTGTGTGTGTGTGTGTTGAATAAAGTTTGTGAGGTATCGAGTGACGTTTGAACAAGAAAGTGATGAAAGGCAGGAGAAGTTAGTCAGTGATTAAATTTATTCTGAAGTTTGTGAACATGCGTGTGTGTGACAGAATGTGTGAACCAAGGAGTAAGAGTAGAACATGTTATTATTTGCACTTATGAAGCGTGTATTTCCTTTTTTCATGTTTAATCTAAATTATTTCATTATTAATTCAGTTTAATTTAATTGTCGTCTGATGACAAAACGTTCTTGAAACCCAGAGATTACTTTGCCAGAAATAACTTGCCCTCGTTTTGCATAATATGAGTTTCTTCCTTCTAAAACTTTTCACACAACTAGTAAAACATCAAACAGTATATTCCCGCTGGATCTCACCAGGGCAAGGGTCGATAATAACTCTCATGAATCTTTCATCCCTTATGTCGCTTGTTTTCTTTGAACAAGAGTCAAGGGTCAATGCAATATTTGGAGGCGTTAATGTGGCTGCTTTTATTTTAGGGTTGTCAAGTTAAGCTTATAGTTTTAAGACCTCTGTAATATTCCCAAGAAGGAAGAGTTGGTTTGGTGGAATAAACTGGATAACAGCTTGAATGATTCAGGGCTCATCTTGAGGGCATTGTACTGAGATCTCCATATAAAAGGGATTTCAGATACACAAACAAAGTATACTTTACTTTTATCATGATATTCGTTCATTTGCTGGTTCATTTGTTGATACTGTTGGACTCACTTCTTTGCTAAAGCTTCTCAGCTCGCGCTCGAGAGTTACAGATGTTCACTGCGTTGTAATTCAGCTGCTGATCCCAGCTCATCTCACAACCTCACACTCGTAACACACGAACATCTTATTTTGGCAACATCTTCCTCTCATATAATTGCCTCTATTTTCTCCCAAGCCCTCTCTACCTCTGAACATCAATCTCCAGCCTCTCCCCTGTTTCTCTGCAGTACAAAGACCACTCAGTAGCGTCTCTGAGACCTCCATTAGACCTCAACCTGGAGCTTAAAAAACACTCCGCACTCCATAAACCTCGCGGGACCATCATCAATTCCGGCTTGTTTTGTGTCGGTTTCATTAATATGAATCTAAGCTCCCCGGCCTCTCTGCCCGGCGGAGGCGGCACGACTCGGCGTCATCTGTTAAACATATCAGAGCCTCGGCACAATGCGCTGCTATTAGAGATAATTACTATAATTGCAGCTATTGACAGGATTAAAGGCATCATCTGCAACATCTAAAGGGGCTCTTGTCATGTCCTCTCCTGCTCTGTTGTCTCTTGTACTTTCTTTTTTCTCCCCTCTGTCTCTGTGTCCCTCGCTTTTCAGGATAGAGACCAGATGAATTACACCTAGGACAATGAGAGGGAGGTGGGGGGGGAGGAGGTATGGCGTGTGAGATAGATGGGTGGAGGGGGAGAATTGTGAGGAGAGATAAGGAAAGAGAGAAGAAACGAAGGGAGGACTGGGCGAGGAGATAAAACCTCCAAAGTGAGCAACTGGAAACGCTTCATAAAGACACAGTATTCATGCTAAATTAATTCAGTGTGCAAATATGATCACTTCATCTTCTGTATCTATGACTATAATTGCAGCTAATTACCAGGATTAAAGGAAACATCTGCGAGGGATCTAATGGGACCGAGGCCGCCTCCTCTCACTCCCTCTTGTCCTCTATTCGGCTGAAACAAGGATAAGTGATGTCTGGGGACAGCGTGATGGAGGGAGGAAGTTTGAGTGGTGGATAGAAGTGAGGACCGAGTTAAACAGAGAGGTTGATTTGATCTAACGAAACTAAGCCTTTTTATTCATGTACATCAGGAGTGAGGAGTGATTATACCAAAGCAGTATTTTTGTTCTGAAAGCCTTGTGATCTATTATTTCTATTCATGTCACACACACACACACAAAAAAAAAAAAATACAGTTACATCATCTGGAAATAAACAATGGTCTGACATGTATTATCTATTTTTCTGTGAAATATAGAGAATCCAGTCCACACAACATGGATTATCAGAGCACTCTCATCTGTCAGATCCCATTTCTAATTGAAGATTTTTCGATTAAAGAAAGTTAAGTTCTGGAAACTTTTGGAGACCTTGAAATTCTGTTTCAGCAGATTAGACGAACCTAACGCACGTTTTCACCGTAAACTCCTCAAATTACCATTTAATCTCATCGCTTTATCATTCTCAGCTGACATTTAGCTTTGGTCAAAGAGGGTCAAACCGTCAACCGCTGCACGATTGCAGCTAAATGAGTCTATCACACCCTCCACTTCGGGTGGTCACAGGAATTGTCATATTGCAGACTGCAGATTCATAGTAATGAATTGGGCGACAGCAGATATTACAGCAAGTTGACAAAGTACTTTAATCAGTCGTTCTTTTCCCAGTTTATTAATTTCGGGCTAAATTTGACGCCGCATTTTCAGCCTTAACTTCTTGAACTTAAACTTTGTGCAGTTTGCTCGACGCTCAGTAGCACGTTGTGCTAGACAAGTGTCGTCCCTGCGATTATCACAACACAACCAATCACAGTCTCCCTGCTCGGGACTGGCTTTCATGCTTACCTGCCAAGCTAGCTGTCCATGCAACGACACAGGGGAGTACACACAGGGGGGTCACCAGGTGCCTCTGTCACCTCTGTCCAGGCCCATTTTGACATTAGATGAAAGACCGGACCTGCATTTGCTTTAACGTGATTTGATCCGCCAGCAGCAAGGTTGGAATATTTCTATA